AGACAGTTGAAGGAGCTGAAGGAGAAAGAGGAATTGGGAAAAGGGAGATGGGTTCAGAGGGAACTGGTAGGAGGGGTGCCCCTCTTCCCTTGTTCTCCACCCTCTTTCTAGCAGTTGTTGCTTCTCTGTATTCTCCATGTCCCGACAATTACAGGATCATTACCCTTCGGCTTAAGACTCACATTATCTCATACAATTCCTTGTTGAATCTGAAGTGCACAGAGTGGAGTCACCCCTCCCTCAGTCATGGACTGTTAGCATCTTTGCTTCCTGACGGGCCCCTTTGCAATGCATTTTATTTTACCCCTTTCTTCCTGATCTCTATTCTCAGTTTTTTCCTCACTGGAGGCACTTGCTTTAGTGTATTTAACAAATGCCCTTCCAATCCATGTTCTATATGTATTTAGATATATTCATTCAGTCTACAAATACATAATTGTAGTGTGGTGAATACGGCCAAGAGTAAAACAATAAAAATGTCCTGATTTCTTGGAACTTACATCTTTTGGTGTGAGGCAAATAATAAACCATTAAGTAAAACATATAGTACCTTGAATAGTAACAAGTGCTATGAAGACAATGAGGGCATGGGGATAGGTGTTGTGGGTGGTGAGGAGCAGATTGCAGTGTTATATGTGGTGATTGAGGAAGGCTGTGCTACACATGTGCTATTTTACCAAATGAAGTGAAGTGAGTAACCATGGGGCTATCTGGGCTAGAAATGGTATGGTTATAGGGACAGCAAGTAAAAGACCCTAAGGTAAGGTCTAGCTGGTATGTTAGGAGGCCAGAATGGTTAGGAGGCTAGAGAAATGTAAATGGAAAGAGAGAGAAACAGAGACTGAGTAGTAGGTGGGCCAGCGACAAATACTGTAGGAATTTGTAGGTCATTGCAAAGGCAGACTTTGGCTTCTACTCTGAATAAAAAGAGAAGCCAGTGGAAGGTTTTAGCAGAGAATGATGTGACCTTTTTTAAAGGTATAGTGTAACCTTGACAAATAACCATTACTTTTTGGCTGTTTTATAAATGCATATAAATCTAGCTACATCAGGGCCTGGAACCTGTTTCAAATTCTGTACCTCTCTCTCTCTCTGACCTTCCCCTGCTCACGCTGTCTCTCTCTCTCTCTCAGAAATAAATAAAACATTAAAAAATTATAAATGCATATAATTTTTTTTTATTATTTCTAGGAGAGAGAGAGAGAGACAGCGTGAGCAGGGGAGGGTCAGAGAGAGAGGGAGTCACAGACTGAAACAGGCTCCAGGCTCTGAGCTGACAGTCAGCACAGAGCCCGACGCGGGGCTCGAACCCACGAACCGCGAGATCATGACCAAAGCGAAAGTCGGACGCATAACCGACTAAGCCACCCAGGCGCCCCTAAATGCATATAAATTTAACTGTGCTGTATACCTCATCCTACTTCTACCTTTGCAACTTAACATGTTATCTTTAATCTACCTTTTTATTTCTGACTGCTGTGTAATATTTCATTGTGCACATATGGCACATTTTACCTATACATCCCTCTAATAACAGAGGCTGGCATAGCTGCAAATTCAGAAACAGTCCTCTGGTGAACGTGTTCATGTGAGACTCAGGGGAAAGTTTCCCTGGAGTGTATATCTCAGAGAGGGATTGCGGGTTGGGAGTATGTGTGCATTCTTAATTCTGCCAAGATTGTGCTTCAGGATGATGACCCCAGTTACACTCCCACCAGCAGTGGGTGATATTTTGTATCTTCTCATCAAATTCTTATGTTATCCTGTAAGGGAAGTGAAGTAAGGTTCCTTGTGGTTGAGGGAATGAGGCTTAGAGAGATCAAGCAAATTATCCTGGTTTATATAGTGAAATGGAAGAGCCAAGGCACAAATAAAAAATTTCTGACATAATGTCCATTGCTCTTAGCACTATAGTACCCAGCACTGCCTCTTCTATGAATAAGATGAGACATCCATAGGCAAGAATATTAATGATGATGATGACGATGATGATATTTGAGACTTGCATTTTCTTGATGCCCGGACTAACCCAGTAAGCCTAAGACCTCCACTTGTTTAGCACCATGTAGGAGGGTGTCTAATTAGGGTACTTAGCACTTCAAGGCAAAATATATTGATAAAACTCTTTTCATTGTCTCATGAGCACAGGCTAACTAACAGGCTTGATTTTAGTGGATGACTTGGGGGTCAAAAATTTTAGAAAGATTATTGATTTTCAAAGTTTGGGAATTTGGATCAGATTCCAGTATTAATCATTATGTAGATTATATTAATTACACATTGTTTGCTAGGCACTGAGCCAATAACTTTATAGGCATCATTTCTCTAATGTCTCAAAATTATCCTGTGAGGTACTTTTACTCTCATTTGACTGTTAATGAAACGAAAAGCACCAATAGGGTAACTAAATTCTCCAAAATACCTGGTATAAGGTTGAGTTGTGATTTGAACATGAACTGGGTACAAGTGGAACCTTACTCCTAACTGCTAAACTGTGCTGATTTCCATGAAGGAAGCTTTCATAATCTCTTCTCTTTGACACTGGGGACAGTTTCTTATCATTTGGGGAGATTTAGAGCAGCCATGGGAAGGACAGGGCTAGTAGACAAGAATCTTCAGAGGGACAGGATCTGAATTGGAAAATGTTCCCTAGTGTCTTCATTATGCCTCCTTCTGTCCCCGAAGTGAGAACCTCTGCCTTAGGACATCCTACCTACATTTTGGGGCCTGAGTATGATACCTTCAAAAAGTCTGACAATTCTTTTTCACCCTGTGTGGCTTATACCTGCCATGAAAGATGTACATCAAGGTTTCATCTGTTTGTTTTCCTTCACACTTTTCATTTTGCCTGCCTTCTACAAGGACAGTAATACAATTAATATCTTTACATAAATCAGGATCATAAATATTATTTGGCTACAAAGCATGATCTCAAAATCAATTAGATAGAAATTCTGGATCATGTTCTCTTTCAGGTTTCCATTCTCAGTTTGTGTATTTGTTCAGTATTTATGGAGCATCTAACTCACACTTTGATAGACGACACAGGCAGCTGTGCTGGATTCTGATCCATTAGGATGAATGGCCCATGTGGTAAGTCAGGTGCTGTTACAGCACATAGGAAGGCAGTATAAAGGTCAGGGAGGTTCCTGGGAAACTGGGGATGAGCTAAGTGAAGGGACAAGAGGGCATTAGCGACAGGTAACTGGGTGTGGATTTCACAACTGAAGCAGGAACTGAACGGGTATGAGGCTGGAGGAATCTGCACAGGCAGATGATGAAGGAAGGAAGAACTATGAAGGAGGGGCAGTGGGAACCCCTGAAGGGTTTGAAGGCCGAGTGTGGGTGGGGAACATGTCAATGACATTTTCAGTGTAGAAAGATTCCATGAGTTAAGTATTGACTCCATGTTGTGTGTTTATTAGTAAATCATAACATTATAACTGATGGGTGGCACATAAGGAGTCTAGATGAATATGTACACAGAAGCTTTGACCCATAACATTAGGACTCCTTTTGATAATCTGGAGAGAACACTTTTCAATTTCGACTTGATCTTTCTGTCTTTAAAATTTTCTGACCACATTTCTAAAATTTTCTCAAAACTAAAGCCTAAATAGGGAGGAGAGTGGGGGCTGCATTACTTTGTTTTCTCTGTTCTCCACCATTCATTTCTGGGGCATTGCTGTGAATTGTTCACCCAGAGTCTTGCTCCATTTGATGGAGGGGCCATTTGAATAGTAGCAGCAGAGGAGGGGGAAGGAGTAACCACATGCAGGATTCCTTCATTAAGAAAATGTGTTTGGCACATTAAACCATGGTTGGAACAAGTGAAAAATAACTGTAGTGGAAAATGAATACGGATTTATAAGTTCGTGTTTTTTAATACAAGCTCACACAGCAGGGCAGGGTCTCCAGGTGGCTGGCAGCTGACATCACAGATGGCCAGGGTGTTTATAGAGCACAGTGTGACAGTGAGGAGACTGCAGAAGTGATCTCATCTTCTCTCCTGGAACCCAGAGTGGAAGGAGACAGAAGAAATTGTTTTGGCTGTGAGCGACTGAGCTAGGTGACTGACTGCATTCCTTCCTACCCATCACACTCCCATAACTGTGGACATACAAAGTGTAGTAAGTTTTGCCTGGTTGCTTAGGGTGAGGTTTACTGAGTGTCAGTATTCACAAAGTGGCCTTTCTGGCTCTTCTCCCTTAGTAGTGGACACTTGGTGGCTTATGCACCTATTCTCCAGTGTTTCCTCAACAGCGTGGTTTCTCTAGTTCTTGCAGGGTGTTATGAAGGAAGGCCCTGCCTCTTTCTCCCTCTTCCTCTCTTCTCACACAACCCCCTGTGGGGCTTGACGAGTAAAGGGAAGGCTTCGACTGTGCATTCCTTGCCATCAGTACCGCTAAATGAATCATGCAGAATGAGGAGAAATGGGATGATGTGACCTTGTGTACTGATTTGGGAGTAAAGAGTTTTAAGACAGTGAGACCAATATTTGTATCTTAAGCTCAGATGATATTTAAGAAATGGCTCTGTAACTACAAGAAGGCCTTCCAGTCCATGAATTAATGTGTCATCACTTATGCTCAAACACCACACAAACATCCCATGTGTAAAGTATTGCACGAGAAATTCATGCCCTGTTGTGTCCTACAGCTTATTTAGTCTGTGAAGCTACAGGAGTTAGATAAACTCAAATGGGATTTTGTCATGTGGTGTGTGAAAAGGAGAATGTAGGGAGAAAGTTGACACTTTTTGGGGGGGAGCCGTGTTGATTTTTTATGATCTTTTCTTGCAGTTTCTGTGATACTCGGGCTGCAAAGGTGACATGGGACTTATGAGCTGTGGTTGTGAACTTCTGTTAGTTGGTTGAACACCATTGTTCACTAAATATTTATTGTTGATTTAGGCATTATGAAGAGCTATCACATACCAGATGAAATACAAAGCAGCAGCTTTCAAGCCTGAGTAACGGAACTCAACAGCCCCCCACACAACTTGGCTTCACTCAGCCTCACTGAACCTGATCCCAGACTCTGCTCCCTGGGTGTGTAACAGCTCTCTGATCCCGGAATCCTCTTTGATTTCAGCTAGAATGCTGCGCCAAGCACTTCGCAGATTTGGTCAAAAACTGGTGCGCAGACCTACGCTGGGGGCACCAGCGGCTGAGGATGACCCAGGGAGAACACTGAACACTCTGGATTTAGTGACCCAGGTTGTGGGCCACACAGTGGGTGTAGGTGTGTATGTCCTGGCTTGTGACGTCGTCAGTAATCAAGCAGGACCTTCTTTTGTGATTTGCGTTTTGGTGGCCGGCATATCTTCTATGTTGGCTGGGCTGTGCTATTCAGAGTTTGCTGTCCGCGTTCCCCGTTCTGGCTTTGGATATCTCTATGTCTATGTCACTATAGGTGAACTCTGGGCCTTCATCAGTGGCTGGAGCTTTATCCTCTCCTATGTTGTTGGTATAGCCATTATGTTTAGCACATGGATCTTAACTTTTGACAACCTGCGAGGGAACGGGCTCTCTCAGACTCTGCAAGAGACCATCTCAGAGCACATTCCCCCTGTCGTTCAAGAATACTTAGATTTCGTTGTTCTAGGTTTTATGTTATTCTTCATGCAACTCAGGAATTTTTGGTATACCAGGTCATTTTGGTCTACCACTACTGCCAAAGTGGTTACATTGGCAAAACTTTTGGCTCTCAGTTTTGTCATCATCTCTGGCTTCATTAAGGGGGACCTGCACAACTGGAGGCTCACAGAAGAGGACTACATAATGGCTGGACTCAATGACACGTCTACGTTGAGCCCTCTCGGCTCTGGAGGATTTATGCCTTTTGGCTTCAAAGGAATTCTCCATGGAGCTGCTACCTATTTCTATGCATTTATTGGTTTTGACTATATTGTTACCAAAACTGAAAAAGCCCAGAATCCCCAGCATTCCATCCCCAGGGGCATTTTGATTTCACTGTTCATCTGCTTTATGGTGTATTTTGGTGTCTCTTTAGCACTTACACTTATGGTGCCTTACTACCAGCTCCAACCAGGGAGCACCTTGCCTGAGGTATTTCTCTATATTGGCTGGGTCCCTGCCTACTATGTTGTAGCTTTAGCATTCCTGTGCATTCTTTCTCTCAGCTTTCGGGGCTTCTGGTGGCCGATAATTCGGGGGTTACGCAGGATGGCATGGCATGGCCTCCTGTTCCGTTTCTTTTCCACTGCCTCTTATCTCCGAAACACTCTTATCATGACCATTGTGCTTCTTGGAATTATTACAGTCACTGTATCCTTCTTGGGAGTCACTGATATCTTGGACTTCGGGTCAGTTGGATCTCTGATTTCTCATTCCTTGGTTGCGCTTTGTGTTCTCATCATCAGGTATCAGCCTGGGAGGAAGAATGAGAGAAATGAAGCAGAGGTGCAGGAGGAGAATAGACGTGTAGCAGAGAAGCTGACTCTACAGGGACTACTTTTTCCAGGCTGCTCCACCCCCACTCCACTCTCTGGCCGCGTTGTCTATGTTTGCTCTTCACTGCTTGTTCTGCTGATCATTCTTCTCTGCCTGGTGCTGACCCAGTTGCCAGATCTGCTTTCTGGAGACCCAGTGTGGATTTCAGTGCTTGTGCTGCTCCTGGTGCTCATCACTGGGCTCACTGGCATCATCTGGAGACAGCCACAGAGCTCCAGTCCCCTTCCCTTTAAGGTCCCTGCCCTGCCTGTCCTCCCTCTACTGAGCATCTTTGTAAATGTTTGCCTTATGATGCAGATGACAGCTGGTACCTGGGCCCTTTTTGGTATCTGGATGCTGATTGGGTTTGCTATCTACTTTGCCTATGGGATCCAGTACAGCTGGGGCACTGATCTCATTTAAATTATGGCCGAAAGAGTAGAACTTTAACATAGTTGTGTCCGTACATATTCAGCTTGACATCATCATACCTGAATGCAGTCAAGTCCCCCTGTGTAATAATGACATACTCTTTTTTTTTTTTTCTGAGAGAGAGAGGGAGAAAGAGAGGGAGAGAGAGAGAGACAGCATGAGCAGAGGAGGGTCAGAGGGAGAGGGAGACACAGAATCCAAAGCAGGCTCCAGGCTCTGGGCTAGCTGTCAGCGCAGAGCCCGACACAGAGCTCAAACCCATGAACTGTGAGATCATGACTTGAGCCGAAGTCGGATGCTTAACGGGCTGAGCCACCCAGGCGCCCCAATAATGGAGTACTCTTGATCCCACTGGAAGGTAGGCCTCCCATGGGATGGGATGTTGGTGGGGGAACACTAATAGAGCTTTCTGTATGATGTGAAGGATGCATTTTGCTCGTTCTCCCCGCCCCCCTCTTTTTTTTAACTTGTCTATTTGAATAGTGTCTGTAGTTGCTTACCGGCTTTAAAATATTATTATTAAAAGACACTAGAAAAAACATTTTTTATTTTATTGGTTAAATATCCAGTAGCTGTGAGTTGCCTGGCTGGCTCAGTCAGTAAAGCATGCAATTCTTCTCTCAGGGTGGTGACCTTGAGCCCCACGCTGTGTGTATAGATTATTTAAAAAAGTAACCAGTAACAGAATTAATGGATCATAGGTATTTTTATTTTTGAGAAACCTCTATACTGTTCTCCATAGTGGCTGCAGCAGCTGACATTCCCACTAACAGTACATGAGGGTTCTTTTTTCTCCATATTTTGGACAATACTTGCTTATCTTGTCTTTTTTATTTTAGCCATTCTGACAGATTCAAAGTGATATCTCATTGTAGTGTTAATTTAGGTTTCCCTGTGATTAGTGATGGTGAACACCTTTCCAAGTGTCTGTTGGCCATCTGTATGTCTCCTTTGGAAAAATGTCTATTCAGTGCCTCGACCCAGTTTTTAAGTGGATTATTTGGGGTATTTTGATGTTGAGTTGTATAAGCTCTTTCTGTATTTTTGGTATCAACTCCTTTTTGGATATATTATTTGCAAATATCTTCCCTTATTCAGTAGGTTGCTCTTCTCTTCTGTTGCTGGTTTCCTTTTCAGGACAAAAGCCTTTTAATTACCTGAATTCAACAAGACACATACACCCCTATATTTATGTGGCATAATTTACAATAGCCAGGACATGGAAGCAACCCATTGTCCCTTAATAGATGAATGGATAAAGAAGATGTAAAAATATCTATCATCTATCTATCTATCTATCTATCTATCATGGAATATTACTCAGCAATAAAAAGAATGGAATTCTGCCATTTGCAACAAATTAGATGTACGTACAGAGAATAATACTATGTGAAATAAGTCTGTTCCGAGTAAGACAAACACAAATGGTTCTACTCTTACAGAAACTTAATAAATAAAACAACAACAGCAAAAAAGCAAAAAGTGAGACAAGCAATAAAAACAACTCCACACATTAACTATAGCAAACAAACTGTTGGTTGTTAAAGTGATGTGGGTACTGGGATGGGTGAAACAGATGAAGGGAATTAAGAGTATAGTTATCTTGATGAGCACTGAGACATGTGTGGAATTGTTGAGTCATTATATAGTACACCTAGAATAATATAGTGACATGGTATGCTAGTTATACTTGCACAAACACAGGAAAAATGAAACTAAAATCGAACAAACAAACAAAACAAAAAGATGAAATATGGCCCCTGCCCTTAAGGGGCTTACATTCCAATACAAAGTGTGAAGTATAGCTGTAACACAAAGTAGAAAGTGTTGTCATAATAAGTCATATACAAATAATGTGTCCTGGGAAGTCAGAATGGTGGATGATCATTTCTGGCTGGTGCAGTGGTGAGGGTTTATTGGTCAAATCAGGTATTTTGTAGAGGAATGGCATTTGAGTTGGCTCTCTGCAAGGACATATTAGGATTTTCCACATGTGGGCAGCAGTGAGAGACTGTAGGGAGAGAGAACAACACTTAGAAAAGCACAGGAAAATGAAGCAGTGTTCAGAACACACTGAGCATACAGTGTAGCCTGAGCCTTGGCTATGAGGGGCAGGCGGGTGTGGAACAGAACGTGCACAGCTGGATTGGAGCCAGAGCATTCCTCTGAGCAGAAAACACCTGGTTTTGAATCCACTACCCTTGCCGTAAATCCCTGGGGTTGGTTTTTCTACTTGGCGATATCTGTATACTTGGACTTGAAAGTTTCTTTACTGCCGTTGGCTTTGATCCACCTGATCAGAAAGTGCTCAGGTGAGAGCCACGTGTCCTGGGTTCTGCTCTTGTTTTCGCCACTAACTAGCAATGTGACCTTGACCAAGCCTCTTGGTTCCTTTAATGCTTTGCTTATTTTTCTGTAACATGAGAAATGAGAACTGATATTTTTCTAAAGTTAGGTTCACTTACGAATTTCTAGGATTTCGTCTGGTTCTTGTGTCTTGTTATTCTCTCAGCTAGGTCTCTCTACTGCCGGGAATCTGAACCTGCATCCTGCTCACTTTTCACTACAGCCCATATTGGAGCTATAATGGTCCAACAAATAACACCCCATTTCTCACTCCTATGTTTGGAACCAACTGATAAAAACGACATAGAGACAGGTGATTAAACTGTTAGCTCTTGATCTACAGCCCAATTGGCTTGCTAATCCTGTATCACTAAATTAGACAGACCTACTCTTCATCTGAAGTAGTGCTAAGCAACCCCCACAAGTTAACATGGATAGGATTCTGCATTTATTAGATTTTTTCATGTATGAGCAGGTTGTAATGAATGTGTTATTTGATAAGTTTGGCACTGGATAAAAAAGGAAAACCAATTTTTAAACAAGGAAGGGACTGAGCTGGGCATGATTAGTGTCGTTTCTTTGACTTTAATCAAAGTCACAGTGAGGGGGGCAGTGGTGGGGTGGGGTCAGGAATAGTACTCTATGTGGTTCTCAATCTTCATCAGGTGTCACCATACCTGAAGGCTTGTGAGAACGCAGATTGCTGTGCCCTGTCCCCAGTATTTGGAATTCAGTATGTCTGGGTGAAGCCCACACATGTACTTCTAACAAGCTGCCAGGTGATGCTGATCCTGATGGTCCTGGGACCACATAGAAAACCGAGGCTTCAAGTGGAAAGATAAAGTGAAGGATACAAAGTTGCCATTTGAACACTTACCTTCATTTGATGAAACATTTATATTAAAATATCATTGTTAACCCTATAACAGTGGGGAAATCATTTTGAATCATTTCACAATGTATATGTATGCAAGATTACCACAATGTATACTTTAAATAATTTCAATTTTATGTGTCAAGTGTACCTCAATAAAGCTGAAATTTTAAAAAACCAAAGTACCACAGTTATGTGGGTGTCTATTTTTGTATACTATTTCTGATTGTAGATCATAGGTAAGGAGTGTATCTTGTTCACTCCCCCAGAGCATTGACCTGTGCCCAGGCACACAATGACCATTTAATAATTCATGGTAAATTGAATAGAGCTTCTGTTAGCTTCTTTGGTACAGAAATTCTCCTTCCTTTCAGGCTACCCCTGTGCTGCTCCTTTAAAACTATCTTCTGGGACACTGCCTTGAAGAACAGCATTTCTCTCCAACCAGAACTATATCTAGAAGTGTATGTAGATCTGTACCCAGCATCTACAACTCTACCTCAGCACTTCTAGTTTTGCCTTTGTGTGGCTCAGCCTGATATTTGGTGACTGTCCTGTCTGTGCCATCAGAGTGGAGTCTTGCTCAGGACAAGGAGTAGATCCCCTTCCTCTAGACCCAGTGGTAAGAACAGTGATGTTCACTCGAAGAGCAACAGCCCTGGGGCAGGTGAATGCCTGACACGACCTCCCCTGGTCTTGCTCCATCCGTACTCATGGGACTTGGAGAGGGACCAAGGTACCAAAATTGATAGAGGATCCAAACTAATGTACGTGACTCCAAGGTATCTCTGAAGATGACACTGAGTTCAGCTTGGGCACAACATACAATTTTCGTGAACAGTTTTATGATTGGCCTATGAGGGCCAGTGTTTTTCTGTTGTATTTATGTATGATGACTTCCTTGAAAAGGAGGGATGGGAGGCTCCTATGTTTATTTTTGGAATTTTTCATCTTTTCAACAGAGAATAGGTGACCCCAGGGAAGCCTAATAGGAGCAGGATTGCCATTACACTTATCCATTCCTTTAGATGATTTTTTAAAGAAACTGGTGCCAAAATCTTGTGAGAGCATCCTCTATTCTTTTGGGCAAAGATAATTTACACTCTTAATGGGGGGAAAATGAACTGAAGTAGGAGGAATTAGTAACTGGACAGGTATTGAGATATCATTACTTTGGTGGATGGTATGAGTAGAAACTGAGAAAGGGGTAGTAGGCAAGAGATGCTTCCTGGAGGAGGATGCCTATGGAGCAATTTGGGAAATGGAAGAAGGATAGGTGAATTAAAAAAGAAACGGGACAGTAATTATAGGCTACATGGACCTTTAGAAGTCATGAAAGAATGAGACTCTTGCGAGGGATGTGTGTTCACATTTGAAGGGAATTTATGAGCCAAGTTTGTATTGTGTATTGTGCATCTTGCTTTGGAGTGAGATTTCTGAATCAGGAAGGAATGAGAGGAGGAGTTAAGATAGCGGAGAAGTAGGGGGAACCCACGCTTTCCTTCTCCCTCAAACAGCTGTCAGATCACTTGGAAAACCCAGGAAACCTACCTGCTGAGCGGCAGAAGGATCTCCACAGTTGTAAGAGAAAGCTTGGCAGGTGTGAGAGACTTGAATTGGGAAAGTGAACTGAGAGATAGAAAATCAGCAGGCTGTAGAGGGAGGGAACCCTTTCCATGGAGAGACAAATGCTAGAGAAAGAGACCTGGTTTTAGAAAGTGCGGCATCAGGTTCATACAAGAGGAAAACCTCTCTGGGCCATGGACTGGGG